GGACTTGGCCCGTGCGCCATGAGCGTTCAAACATTCCCGCCAGTGGCTCTGCAGTAATGTCGGCCAGTGCCTTCAGCACCCTCGGATGGAGCTCATCCGGGCCTGCCGACTTAAAGGCATCCAGTTCTTCCAAGTGACTCTGCACCATCTCAGGGTCTACGCATGGTAGTCTGGCGCCCTGCTGCTGCCTCTCTACAACCCCAGTGAGAGACTTGTCTTGCCCCTCGCTTAGGAACACTGAGGCAAAGAACTCGTTGAGGAGTTCAGCCTTGTCCCCCCTGTCTGTCATCAGTTGTTTCTGCCCATTTAGCAGGGGTCCTATTCCACCCTGGGCCTTCCTTTTACTCCCTATATGACAAGAAACTTGTGCCCATGCTGCCCACACTAATACATTTTACCCACTTTGGCATGCAGATGCCTGTAATGATCTTAAGCTAGAACTCCAACTTACAGATTCATAGATGTTAGGGGCTGGAAGAGACCTCTCAAGATCATCAGGTCCAGCCTCCCTGCACGTGGGCAGGAAAGACTGCTGGGGTCAGATGACCCCAGCAAGGTGAGCATCCAGACTTTTTTGAAGATATCCAGACTAGGTGCTTGTACCACTTCTGGGGAGTATATTCCTGACCCTGGACACTCAAGTTGTAAAGAAGTTTTTCCTTAGAGAAACTCCTTGGAAAACTCAGCTTGGCTTAGATTTTTTTACTTGTACTATAGCATTAAGTTGTTCTTTACAGGGACACCACGAAACTGTTTGCCACTGCCTCGGATCATTGATGAAGCCTGCCGTGAGGCTGAAATTTACAAGGATGCTGGAATAGTAAGTCTGTGTTAGCCTCCTGTTCTAATTTTGATGTAAAATATTGTTGTGTCAGTAATACAAGTCTTACTCCTGTGCAGCTACTATACTAGTGGTCTTGCATGTTAAAGTTCCAATTAAAACTTCGGATCCAAACACAAGAAGACTGAAGTGGTTGTTTGAAATCCAGTGTTTTGCTCCGTACACTGTCAAAACCACATATATCAGTATCCCTGCCCCTTGGAAGAGTCTGACCTGTGGGTATGAACTCTGCAACTATCTCCAAGTAAGCATATTGACAGTCAGCTCCTACGGGTGAGACTGCTTAAGGAAGCCAGTGAGACATCAGCTATTGCCAACACTCTGGGCATCTGTTCTTTGGTGTGATTGGTTACTCATTCCAGCAAAATGACATACTTTTTGCTTTTTATACTGTATTTGTAGCATAATTAATGTGTTCTGGTTTTGTCATTGGAGAATGGAGTAAGCCAAAGCAAGCCAGGATACTTCCACCTTGCTTATAAGTTAGATAAATCTGCCAGGGTTTTACCAGAGAATTATGCAGGGATTCAAAAAGAACCCACATCCATTTCTGCCCCCTGTAATACTTTTATCATACACCCCTGGCTTTTCTGCTTTGCATATCTAGAAGAGAAGGCCTAAAAGGCCAGCCCCAGCCAGAGGCAACAGAAGGCAGGTACTATTGACTACATTTCTATTGGACCTCAGGTGTTGTAGTAATTTCCATAGGTCAGCAGATTTTTAACAGAGTCTATGTCCTTTTAAAAGGTCAGGGTATGTTTTAAACATTTCATTGCACCTTGTATCCCTGTGTTGCTGCACTCTTTTCTTTGACCTGCCTGCAGTGCAAATATAAATTTCTGGCATTGCAATGATGTGGTGTCCCAGAGTGTGGGCTTTAAACAAGACTTAACTGGACAGGAAGTCAGTGCTCTGAGCTGTTCTTATTTGCTCCCTAACTTTTTAAATAGGATTATTTTTATTATTACTCTTTATATAGCATCATAAATTCCCATGACACTTTACAATCAGAGTAAGATTGAATCTAAGAGCTTAATATAAGTTCCAAAAGGGCAAAGAGGAGGCATAAGATGACAATTCACGTAAAGGAGGTTAGAGAGAATATTGGAGAGGATAAATCTGGAAGAAGTGGGAGAGGAGAGGGGATGCACACCAAAGCAGAACAATGAATTGAAAAGGTGAGTTAAGATGAGATGACTTAGGATATAGCCTTGAAGGCAGACACTGAGGAAAAATGTTATGAGTTAGAAAGTTAGGTCCCAACCAGGAAAACTGATCCCTGTGAGCAGCTGTCTCTATCCAGGCAAAAGGTTACTGGCTTTCAGGGGTCTGCCCAGGTAACAGTTTTTGTGGGCTGATGCCTTCAACTGGAAGATGCTTGCACTAGGGGTTGTTTGCTCCTTTGTCTTGTGTGGCACACAACTCTAAGTGTTTACTAAGCTGACAGAAAATCGATGACGATTAAGGAGGCTGATGTGTAATGTGGTTAGAGTAGCAGGAGAGAATGATGTGTAACAGTAGGACAAGGGAGTGGCAAGAGGTAGTTTGACATCCTGTTTTACTAGAGTAAGTGGGTATGATACATAAGCAGTCAATAGTTCTCTTAAATCTATCATCCTGCATCCCAGCACTAGTTTGGTTAGGTTAGTAGAGCTTAAATATACTGAAAACCTTCATAAAAGGGAAAATAGACAAAATAGAAATAGGACTAAAATATACACTAAAATACAATGGAGATTATAAAACACTTAAACTGCAACTGCCTCTAGTGGTGTCCATGTTCAGCAATTTTGGATACATTGACAATTAAGAATAGATTTGTTAGATATTTTACTCTCTCTCCCATCTTATTCTGCTGGATTCTTTTTGTCAGCTAATACTATAAATCGTGGTGTTCCAGGAATGACTAAATTGCCATATTTTTGCAGTACTGAAATTGCTGAACTCTCATAAACTTTAAACTTGACTCTAGATAAATGAGAAGTTAATGCAGTAATTTCTCTGCAGTGTGTATTCAACTAAATCCTACATTCACCCACATTTTGTGCAGATGTTCTACATCATGCTAATAAGTAGAACAATATTTACATCAAACCAGTCTTTCACTCTAAAGTTAAGAATTTGAAACTGAAAGTTGAGAATGGCATTACTGCATTATATACTGATTGAAACACATCAGAACTTTGAAAAGCAATGAAAAAAAGTCACACATCTGTTCTTTTGATAACATAGAGTCAGGAATAGCTTCTATAAATACCAGTAAAGAGATTGATTTAAAATGTTCCTGGGAACCCATGGCAGTATTTTTTTTTTTCCTTGGAACCCTGTGTCACCCTTGACTGTTGAGGACGAGTAGTTAACATGTCTTTACATTTCTCTTGGGAATTCCAGATGATTTGTTTTCCCCTTAAAATGGCAGGGATCATTTTGTCATATCAGACATGGGCACAGCAGTCAGATTTATGTAATCACTGTCTGGCAGCGACACGTTAGTAATTATAGTCTCCTAGATGTGTTCAAGGGAGTCAAGAATGTAGTGTCCCATAGGATTGGCAACAGAGGACCTGAACAGTAGCCTCTGGGCTTTAAGGTGAAGGCCTTCCTTCACTTTTCTTGTACCTTCGATCACATGCACAGGTCTACTCTGGATTAAAAGTCTTCATAGTTTGTAACATTTCTCTGGTTTAAATAACTTTTTTTCAGACTGGCTGGTAGGTCATGATAAAATACTGTCTACTTCAGATATTCCCAATGAGCACAATACTGTAGCATTCAGGTGATGACCAGCTGGCAGACTGTATAATTGAAATCACCTGAAGCTTTTCTCTCCTTTGGAAGGGAGCTTACATTTGGCAACAACCCTAGTCTCCAATCCTACTGTAGAAGCTAGGTTTTAAGGTTTATACTTTGGTCAACTACTAGGTAGTATTAGGTAGTATCACTAGGAGCTCATAGTTATCACTTAAGTATCTTGTATAGTAGGGCCAAAAATTTCCTGTAGGACTATCGGAAACTGGGAGCAAATTGTAGGTAATGCTCAAATGGTTTTGATGTTGAAGATTTTGTTGAAACTGCTTAGTGTAGACAGGGTATATGTAGCCTATATATGTACACTGCTGAAGAAAGTAAACCTGGATCTTTAGAAGAAGGTTACTTGTCTGGTGTAGTAGTTGTTTAACATAAATAAAAAGATATGTAATGTTAGAACACAGTAATTAAAACAGGAAAGGGCCATCTGTGCCAAAACATTTATATGCTTTGTATTTGTATTGCCAAATTATCAGATGTCTTAGACAGTATTTTTAAGCAACAGATTCTGAGATTAAGGTCCCTGCAGTTTTTCCTTTTCTGTTTTTAGTTTAAGAAAATATTTATAGTGTAAAAATATGGCTTTCACAGTGTAAGTCACTGAACTTCTGTCCTGTTGATTCAGTCTTGTAACAAAGCTCCTGCAGCCAAATAGTAACAAATGTGCAAGTTTTTCTCCTTTATCATATCATTTCCTTTAAATAATTGTTATCTCTTATCACTTAGTTGAGACCTTTTAAATAGTCAAATCGATTACAAATCATTTTAAAAATGTAATGCGACACTCATCTGGCAAGAAGGCAGGTGAAACTGTTATCATCCTTCTTAACTAATATTTTGCATGGTGGTCTTTTTTTTTTTTAACTTACCTGCTTTTCACAAACTTCCTTCCATCCATCCACCCACCCATCCAACTACCCATACTGGATCCTTGAGAAAATGCTTGGGGTTCTCTCTAGTGCAGTTTTATTTGTAATGTTATTCATCTCTGCTTAATTTACCTTTCATGGTGAAGAGGCAGCATCTATTCTCTCCTAAACTCTTTTAAAATAGGATGTAGGTTGATGTTTGGAGTGTAAGTAGGGCCTGCAGTTTATTATGCAGGCATGTTATTGTAAATATAGCTGCAATAACTTGCCTCTTAATTTTCATCCACACTAGTGAGGTAGAATTTTGTATAAATGCTAAGCAAAATAGGACAAAAATGTTCTACGTACCTCAGATCCGGAGGGAATAATCCTGTTATTCAGCTAGAACTTTTGAAGAGTTTAAAATAGATTACTCCTGAAATGCCACAAACTCTACTACTGAGTTTAAAATAGATTACTCTTGAAGTACCATGCAGATCTCATAGGGAGAAATGAATATACATTTCCTGTTTATATAGGGGTATGTTGGAGGTGGAGCTATGGGCATTCGTTTCTTCAGAATACACCTGAAACGCACCTAGTGTTTGAACAGAAATATAAAGAACCGTTCTTAAAGGAAGTTGGGTTTTCTAATAAGTGCTGAGTGTAATATTGTTCATGTAAGTAAAGCTTGCAGGGAAAGGATAACTTTTCTTTTTTCTGTGTAGTCAGAGATTAAGAACAAATATCTAGTAGATCCTTGCACTCCAAAAAAAAAAAGGTTTTGTTTCAATAATGGTTTATGCATGTTATGTTTTAAATATCACTCAGAATAAAAGGGGGAGCGCTAAATATATATTAAATGAGAGAAGGCTGGTCTCTAGACCAGATAACGTAAGTCATCTTAATATTCAATGAAAAAGAAAGACTAGAGAGATTTATCTGTTGGTATCCAAATAAATTCAATTTTGGAACGTGTCATACAGTAACTGTTGCCATAGATTTTTGCACTATAAGCTTAAGTTTCAAGAACTTTAATTCAACCTGTTTTCTTTCCACAGTTTTAATTAATAATTTAATTATATTTATATAAGACACAAAAATCTATAGCATTATTTTTTATGTAAAAATATTAATGAAAGCTTTGTGTAAATGCATCTGCAATTCAGTCCTCTGTGAACATTTTTTCTTTACTTTTTAACTGAACACAATACAGTGTGCAAACGCTTGTAGTCCTATCTGTGGGCTCCTAAAGAATAATACATTATTCAAGTAATCCTGAAAGTGCTTGGCATTAGCTAGGATTTGGAGGTATAAGTGAACAGAACGGCTGAAGTGTCTGGTTATGGTTAGGTTAAAGGGGAAGGACTTCATTTTTGTGAATAACAGCACGTGCACTTTTGATTTATGCCAATTTGTTTCTAAAATATTTTAGATGGAGGTGTTACAGTAATCAAATGCAAAGTCCTGTTGATTTTGAAAATGTTGTCATAAGTAGTATACGTAGATAGTCAAGCTCACTGTAAGGGGGGTGGCAGAAACTCATTTTTAGAATTTTAAATTATACCAATATACCATTTCTTTACTGTTGACAGAATAATTTCAGGGGCTTTCATAAATAACGTTAGAGATGATTTTCCTTTTATCTGGATTATCAATACAAAGTGTTCATCTTTTCATGATCACCTAATATGTTTTATCTTTACAAACTGTGACATGAAAAATTACCACTTGGTCCATTCAGTATTTCCTTTTACCATGTAAGCACAAAAATGAAGCCTAGGTGTTTTCACTCTCTCCTCCCAGAACCAGCTGGGAAGTGGCAGTTGCATCAGTCCCTCAAGCCTGCTCCCTTTATAGGGCCAGGGTTATAGACACAGTCTTCGTTGTCATCTTCATGAGACTGATCTTGGGAATTGGGATGAGCTTGGTTGGCACATACACAGAACTGTACAGCTACCTTAAGGGTGTGATGCAGCTTTTCTAGGCTGACAGATCTCTTCTATTGTTTGAGGCCTTCCACTGGTTCAGAAACCTTGGCCTCCCAGAGCCAAGGACTCTTCTTGCGTCTCAGTAATCCACTAAGAGTGGCAATTCCCTCCTTCCCTGCAACAGTGTGGAAGCCATCTGATTAGACACCCCCCTGCTTTATCTGTATGGAGTTTTATCCAGATATCCCATCCCACCAGTCTTATTTATAGCACTGCTTAAATTAAAAAGAAAACAAAAAAGAATACCTCACTGAAAAGGACCCTAACCATTGGTTATACACGCACTAACTACTGCCTTTCTAGGATGGTACCGATATATGCTTCAGATGCAAGAGTGTGCACTTTACCATCACGGGAATTGATCAGCACCTGACTGCTACAGGGCAGTCTGTATTAGATGGAATATTTTTTATTTAAAAAAAAAAAAAAAATCTCTGTGGCCCTGTGTGCTGATCCTCAGGCAAATATGGATTTGCTGTTAAAATGTAGTAAGTCCTGTGGTGATTGCTTCTGAGTCCAAGATGCTTGCTGGGAACCTGAATTGCAGAGAAGGCAGCTACTTCATTAGTAAGACTAGGATAAGGCCTTCCATTGGACTGGAGGGTTTGGACGCTGCTTACTAGCAGAGACTGGCTTGGGAATGACAGGAAAACAAGGAATCCTTCTATAGTCTGATTATATTGTCCAAAAGTCTGTCTCCTTGTTGGCTGTCCTGTGCTTGGCGTATAATTCCCTTGCGACTGTGGCCAGACTTCTCTTTTCTTTTCTTTTCTTTTTTTAAATCAAGTGATCGATAGAGTGGTTGGAAAATCTCTAACGCAACATTTTTCTATCAGAAAATATTGATTTGCCGGAACAGAAACAGTTCACAGAGCTTGATTTCAGTAAAGCTGTGGCAGAACCCAGTGGGACTCTGCCTGCTTTCCAGCCGTCCCATCCATCCTGCACCTGTCTGGAAGGATGCTAAAGAGCCCAGGCTTTCAGGCTCCCAGCTGTTTAGCAGCTGAGGATCTAGGCTTCTCCCCACTAGGTTCTCAGGATTTTTGCCTCCTTTGCTGCTCACATAGCAGAGCTTACTGATCAACAGCCTTGGGATTAGGAAAAATTGTGCCTTTTAAAGTAATTTGAGATTAAGTATGTAGGAGTGTAGAGGAGTGAAAAACTGAAGGACTTGCCTTTCCGTTGATGTTCTGAAAGATTCAATCGTCTTTTTATGGTACAGGCAGAACATTTCAGATGGAGGCTCCTAGAACAATTGCTTGCTGCTGCAGAGATTTTTATTAAATGTTTCCAGTAGCTTCATTATGCAAGTCCCAAATTATATCTGACAGTTTGTCTGTTAAGGATATCCCAAAGTATGAGCACAGGCTGAGAAGTGAAGGTGTTAAAGTTCACAGAAACTGGAGCACATGGTAAAGCAGAGATTAGAGGTCTCTCTATTAATAGGTTGTTTCTTCTTGTGGAGAAGTTAATTAGTTTGAAGGATTTCTTGGCTTGGAAGGCTGAGTCCTCTGTTGGTCACTGGCCCCATTAATTTGTTTGATCATTTAAATGAGGTCTCATGCCTGGTAGCAATGTATACGTTTAATATAAACATAACAGGTCATGTGCTTAAGTGGTATGCATGGTGTATACTTAGGTTTTTAACTGCATCACTTGGTGACATCCATAGGATCCTAGTATCCGGTTTCTCCAGTACATTCATTTTAATCTGTTCCATGTTATTTGTCTTTTCAGGTAGTTTCATGATACTTTTAAATACTCAAGTATCTTCATATTAGGTATCCATTTGTAAAGTGTGCTATTTGGCCTGTAATTCAGCCATGAACTGTGGACCATTCTTTAATGCAGAAGTGATTTCTAAAAGCAAGATAGAAATACAGGCAGTCCTTGGACTTACGAAACAATTGGTTCCTGAAAACCCTGTCTTCAGGACGCTTTCCTTCAGAAAAAAGGATACATTTTTACATTGTTAGTTCTTGATGTGAGCATGTATGATTCGTGGCTATTGACAGTTTTCAGGGGCATGCTTTATGCATGATTGAAAAGGATGAGTGCCTAAATAAAGTACAAAGTTTTTTGGGGTTTTTTTTTTGTTTTTTAAAAATAAATCGTGTTAAGTTAAATCAAAAGAATACCTGACAAACAATAGAGCAGTTATAAAAGTATGGCATGAGGTGCATCATAATGGATAATAAATATCCACATCTGCTGTTAAGCAGTTTTGGATTTAAAATATGAACAGTGTCAATGCTTAATGCCAAAGTTATCGGCATCTTAAAAATGCTACAAACATTAGCATTTTTAGGGATGTAAAACATTAAACAGTGATTATATTTATACTATTTACCTACCGGCTCAGTGCTGCCCACTGCTGGGGGAGCGGCTTGAGCAGGGGCTGCCTGGGAGGCAGTGTGGATCTGGGCTGTAGCATGGCGTGGCTGCTGTAGCAGAGAAGTAACTAGCCAGGGGGCGAAGCTGGGCAAAATTATACGGCCAAACTGGCAAGGCTTAAATAGGAGTGAGTGTAGTGGCAGGGGCTGCCTGTGTGCCACAGGGGAGGACTGCACAGAGTCAAGGCTCCCTCCCCATAGCACCCGCATTTTTGTCTGATGGGACAGCCATGCTGCACTCTCCAGCCCACGGGCACCCAGAGCCCCAGGTGGCATCTCCCTCAAGCCCACCTGCCTGCCTCCCAGACTGTGGCAGCTGCCACTTGGCAAGGACCCGCAGCAGTGCTCCCAGCCTGGGGGCATGTGGCAAACCTATGAGCCATGCAAGATTGTGCCCAAGGCACCCACCTGTGGGCAGAGCACCTTCTACTAGCAGCCGTGGCACTGAGGCAAGCCTTCAGATGAGCAGGAGGAATGTGGTGCCAGCCCAGCTGCTGGTGGCATTTGGTTGGAGAAGGGAGCTCAACAGGTGCTTGCTGAGCAGCAGCTGCTGGAGCCTGAGGGGTGGGCAGGCAGGAAAGAGGCCTGGGGCTCTGGGCACCCATGGGCTAAAGGTACTGCCAGGGCAAGGCATAGCTGTCCCAGCAGGCGGGACACCCTGCAGGTACTATGTGGGGCCTACCTGGCTCCATGCAGCCCGCCCCTGTGGCACTCAGTGACAGCTCCACCACTCTGCTTGCTCCTATTTAAGCCCTAGCAGCTTGGCCATGCAACTTTTTCCAGCTCTATCCCCCCAGTTAGTTACCTCCCTGCTGCAGGAGCATGATGCTGCAGCCTGGATCCATGCTGCTTCCCAGGCAATGAGCTGGGGTCCTGTAAAATCCCTCTGGCACCGTGCTGTTGCTGCTGCCGCCGCTGCCTTCCCACTCCCGCACACTCATCACGTGGAGCCTGCTGCAGCCATGGGCTTCAGTCCTGGCTGGCAACAGAACTCGCTGCAATCCCACATATCGCCCTCAGCCCTGGCTCCCCGTGCCACTCTGCTGTGGGACCATTTAACCAATATAATTAGAGGAGGTTAAACAGGTAATTTTTAAAATGATATTTACACCCCTAATGTAGGCGTACATTTAACTCCTCTTTTCCTAAGATTAAGTCATTGGAAAATATTTTCACTGGTAGAGTTGAACGAGAAAACCTTTTAATTGATCCTGAAAATCTGTTTGGTCCTATCTCCTGGCTTTTATTAACTGAATTGAAAAGTTCCTTGATTACCTAAGCCCTTAGCTGTCCAGAGTTATTCAGTATTCCATATTGATAATTGAACATTGGCACTTCAGTGTTTGTTTTTAATGAGGTAAATAATTTAATTCTTTCACCTATAGTTCACATTTTAGGTTGGATATTAAAGAAACCTAATTGACTCTATAGAATTGAAATCATGTTTATTTCACTTTGATTACTTCACAAATATCTTGCTGCTAATTAAAGCATTTTTAAGTGGGTATTTGCATCAACATAATTTATTATAGATAATCCCTCCTTTGAAGCAAAACTTTTAAACACAGTGTTTTCTTTAATGCATGTCTTAGCCTAATAGTAAAATAGCTATGATTTTTTAAAATGACTTTCTTTGGTTAAATCAGATTTCTCTATCATAATTTCCACAGGATGGCTTGATAGTGGAAAACATGCATGATCTTCCTTACACGACTTCTGTTGGGCCAGAAATAACAGCAGCAATGACAGTCATTAGTGCTGCAGTGAAGCAAACCTGCCCACAGCTCCCATTGGGTATCCAGATTCTGTGTTCTGCAAATCAACAGGCTGTAGCAGTGGCTCTTGCTGCAGGTAATAGAAATGACTCATAATTTGCTGCTGGGGTTTGGTACATCATATATGCTTAGAAATGTGTGTAGTAACACAGAAGTCTTGAAGAAAGGAAGAACCCAGGGCCTACAGTGCTTTCTGCTTCCTGCCTTTTCAGGAAAGCATGTGTGTGGAAGATGCCTGCTTGATTTTTAACAGCTGATCCCTACCTGGTGCACTGGGAGGAGCCAAATGAAAAATCCCAGGGTTCCAGCTATTGTTCCCTGTGGGAAAAATTCTGTACGCAAGTTTAATGATTAGTTTAAACCTACCTGCATTTTAAGTCCATCTTTGGTGTAACGCCGTTTTTTCGAGTTAAATTATATCAGAGATTAATTCAGCTTGCTGTGGCTAAACATTTCATTCCACGATCTGATTATACCATGGGATACTACTGTTATTCTTTACTAAAATTAACTCTCACTACTTTCATGAATGAATGAAATGAAGCTCCTTGTGTGATAGCTAATAATGGAGTATATACTATTAACCAAAATATTCAAATTAAATTGTGCATAGGAAAATTACATTTCAGCTTTCCTTACTGCATGAATCATATTAATACCACTTGTGCTAGTCTTGCTGTTTCTGTTCATTTCTGCCTGTGGAAACTGGTTAAAACAGTTTGTGTTCCATACATAGTGCTCTCTGGTTAAGAAACGATGGCTATGTTGATACTGAAAGCTTGCAATTTTTATCATTAGCTTTATGTATTGAATTAATATAGATATGACCAGCAAATCCAAGGTTATACATACATGATTTTATTTTATTTTTGCGGCCACTACATTTTTCATGAGCTGTTTTATCTTCTCTCACTGCTGTGTTGCCTTTTTTCTTTACTGCTCCACTTGCATTTGAAGCAGGTAAGTTGAACTATAAGAGTCTTTCAGCTAGAGAGGCAGGCTGAGTGGACAGAAGATAAATCTTTTAGTCTGAAAACATTACTTTAAATTATTTTGTTTAAATTCCCTCATTTTTAATTATTTCCTTTCCTTTTAGAACCATTCTCCTAATGACTTTGTCCTTTTTATCTGGAAAGCATTGTTAATTTTCTCTGTATTTTGCATGGGGTTGATCTTCATGTTACTTTTTGAGCTTTAATACAAATATAGTAATATTATTAGGAAACCTTTTTTATATTATAACTTCTTTGGTGCATGCTGCATCGATGGTGTGTTTTTAACGTGCAGTTCTGAAAATATATACACTACTGCCGAGCAAACTGGACATCATGGTACAATTTCTGTCAGACTTTTAGAATTGTGTGAATGGAAAAATATGTGCACTTATTTTCTTTGTACTACAGTCACAAGAAACCCACACAAAGTGTGGGTCCTTAACTGAATGGGGGAGGCAACCTCACTGGCAAGGTCAGCTCCCAGGCTACTGCACCAGGCAGCACAGTTTTGGTAGAAGGTGAGCGACCCTCAGTGGTGAAAGAATAGGTTATGGACTATTTAGAAAAGCTGGATGTATACAAGTGAACGAGGCTGGATGCAGTGCATCCAGGGGTGCTGAGGGAGTTGTGATGGCAGAACCACTGGCCGTTATCTTTGAAAACTCATGGAGATCAGGGGAGGTCCTGGATGATTGGAAAAGAGCAACTATAGGGCCCATCTTTAAGAAAGGGAAGGAGGAAGATCTAGGGAACTACAGACCAGTCAGCCTCACATCAGTCCCCGGAAAAATCATGGAGCAGATCCTCAAGGACTCCATTTCTAAGGACTTGGAGGAGAAAGTGGTTAGGAACAGTCAGAATGGATTCACCAAGGGCAAATCATGCCTGACCAACCTGATTGTCTTCTATGATGAGATAACTGGCTCAGTGATGTGGGAAAAGCAGCGGACATGATATACCTTGACTTTAGCAAGGTTTTTGATATGGTCTCCCACACCATTCTTGCAAGGAAGCTGAGGAAGTACAGGTTGGATGAATAGAGTGTAAGGTGGATAGAAATCTGGCTGGATCATCAGGCTCAATGGGTAATGATCAATGGCTCAAGGACGAGCTAGCAGTCAGTATCAAGTGGAGTGCCCCAAGGGTCAGTTCTGGGGCTGGTTTTGTTCAATATCTTCATTCATGATCTGGAAGATGAGATGGAGTGCACCCTAAGCAAGTTTGTGGGTAACCCCACAATGTGGGGGTGTAGTTGATATGCTGGCGGGTAGGGCCAGGATTCAGATTGACCTAGACAAATTGGAAGATTGGGCCAAAAGAAATCTCATGAGGTTTAACAAGACGTGCACAGTCCTGCACTTAGGATGGAACAATCCTATGCACGGGTACAGGCTTGGGACCAACTAGATAAGCAGCAGCTCTGCAGAAAAGGACCTGGGGTTTACAGTGGACAATAAGCTGGATACAAGTCAACAGTGGGTCCTTGTTGCCAAGAAGGCTAATGGTGTACTGGGTGCATTACTAGAAGTGTTGCCAACAGATTGAGGGAAGTAATTATTCCCCTCTCTTCTATACTGGTGAAACCACACCTGGAGTCCTGTGTCCAGTGTTGGGCTCCCCACTATAGAAAGGATGTGGACAAAATGAAGAGAGTCCAGCAGAGGGCAACAAAAATGATAGTGGGCTGGGGCACATGACTTCTGTGGAAAGGCTGAGGAAACTAGGCTTATTTAGTCTGGTGAAGGGAAGGCTGAGTGGGGATTTGATAGCAGCCTTCAGCTACCTGAAGGGAGTTCCAAAGGGGATTGAGATAAACTGTTTTCATGGGGCCAGATGACAGAACAAGGAGCAATGGTCTCAAGTTGCAGCAAGGAAGGTTTAGATTGGGTATTAGGAAAAAAACTTTCTCACTGGGAGGATGGTGAAGCACTGGAACGGGTTACCTGGAGAGTTGGTAGAATCTCCATCCTTGGAGGTTTTTAAGGCCTGGCTCAACGAACCTCTGGTTATAATGATCTAGTCAGGGGTGGTCCTACTTTGAGCAGGGGGTTGGACTAGATGACCTTCTGAGGTCCCTGCCAACCCTAATTTTCTGTGATTCTGTGAAATGATCAGTGTTCTAGCTGTCTGTTTATTTGTGTATTTATTCAGATTGGACATGCAGTCACAGTCAGTGAATGTGTTTTTGGAGGCATAATTCTAAAATTCTGGCATTCTTTTTTTTTCTAGGACCTCTAGAATTAAACAAGGTTTTATAACTTTTTTTCAAAAAAATTAAAAATAAATCACAGCAGAAAATGTAGGGTTGCCTTCTACAGTGATAAATGGTCTGAATTTGTATCTTAAAATCTTGACTGAGGGTTTTTTGTGGTTTTTTTTTTTTTTTTTAAAACACGTCCTTATTAATAGAAGGGTTTTGAAGCATGATTTGTCTTCTGAGGTTCTAGAATGTGACGCTAATTTTTAAAGTTATCCAGCTGTCTGGTAAACTAGCAAGCCCAGTTCATTTTAATTTCTGTGCTAAAGCCTATATTGAAAGCTGTGGTTGCAGTGAAAATTAACTTTAGCCCAGTCCAGTGTTCTTAATTTTTTTATGCACTTGTGTACTTCCAAAAACATCAATGTAATTTATTCTATTTTTGATTCTTCTTGTTGACTGTGTGGTTTTTAGGAACACATTGTAGTACCAAAATGAAAATATACTGAGGGGCTATCTGTTTCTCCCACTTTTTAGCAATTGTGAGGCACAGAATTCCTGAAGGGCTTATTTTAGTTTTGCACAACTCCGCTGCTGTTCTGCACTACTTGATTTGTAACTGGGGACTGGAGCTAGGAAGCGCCCATCTTTATTGCAATTCATTGAACTATTCTGAAAATGATCGTCTCAAGTTCAACGAACAGGAAAGCAAAGAGAAAGGAGAAGTTGCAATCTGAAGAGCCACTCTGAGCAAAGCTATACCAAAGTGAATGCTGCTTTGTATGTAATATCTATTGGAAAGTATTTCTGTACTGATCTTGGTGATCTAAGCTGCAGCTGAGAAGACTTAATACACAGAACGTTGCACAGTAGGCCTGTGGAAAGGAGCAAGTATTTGCTTTGGATTTGGATTCTGCCAATTCGGAGGGACAGAGATTCGATTTGGTGATTCAAATTGCTGTCCCGATTCGATTCAGCCAATTTGGATCCAGAGATTTGGCACCAGTTTGGAGATTCAGCTATAGATTATATAGGCAGCAGTCCTCCGTGATGCTGGACACAGTTGCCTCCAGCTGGTAAGTCTGTTGTGGTGGGCAGAGGGGGGAGGGAAGGGGCGTGGGGGGTGCAGATCAATGCTCCCACAGTGAGGAAGGAATTGGGGCGCGGGGGGGTGCTTCTACCACTGCGCGCCGCTGGCCCTGGAGCTGGTCTTCTGGTGGCTCTCACTGCTGATCTGAAAGGGCATGGGAGTGGGCATGTGCCCCTGGATCTGCACGGGGTGGGCTGGGCCAGGCTGTCCTCTGGGCGGGAGGCAGAAGGCACTGTGGGTGGAGGCTGTCTCCTTGCACTACTCGCCCAGCTGGGGCGGGAAGGCACAGGATGGTGCCGCTGCACTGCCTCAGACAAATGGTGTATTGCAGCAGAAGCCGCTTCAGCCTCCCTGCACGTCCCAGACAAGCTGTGGCTTTGCCCTGCCCCAGCTGGGCGATTAGCAACAGGGCATGGGGACAGTGGGTGCATGCACCCAGATTGGGGCAGGGCCGGTGGTAGGGGCTATGGGGAAGTTTAGGGTGGCTGCAGCCTCCCATAGGCCCCGCTCACTGCGCTCTGCAGGGCGGGTGGAGCCAGCGCTGTGCTCTGGGCTGTGGCTGGGGCTAGCCACCCGGAGCACAGCCCTGGCTCCACCTGTCCTGCAGAGTGCAGCCTGGCAGCAGGGACTAGCCTCCTGGAGCACAGCCCTGCCCAGCCTGCCCTGTGCAGATCTGGAGGTACACGCCCACTCCCATGCCCTCCTGGACTGGCAGTGAGAGCTGCCAGAGGAGCCACCAGAAAAACAGCTCCTGGACCGCCGGCGCACAGTGGCAGGAGCTCCCCTCCCTGAGT